GCGGCGACCGCGGCCTGAGGGGCTCGGGGGGAGATCGGGGGCGATCGGTGCCCTGCGGGGGCTCCGTGCGGGCTGAGGGGCGAGGCGTGGGGTGGGGTGAGACATGAGGAGCTGAGATATGAGGAGGCTGAAACATGAGGGGCTGAGGGATAATGGGGTGAGACATGAGGAGCTGAGATATGAGGAGGCTGAAACATGAGGGGCTGAGGGATAATGGGGTGAGACATGAGGAGCTGAGATATGAGGAGGCTGAAACATGAGGGGCTGAGGGATAATGGGGTGAGACATGAGGAGCTGAGATATGAGGAGGCTGAAACATGAGGGGCTGAGGGATAATGGGGTGAGACATGAGGAGCTGAGATATGAGGAGGCTGAAACATGAGGGGCTGAGGGATAATGGGGTGAGACATGAGGAGCTGAGATATGAGGAGGCTGAAACATGAGGGGCTGAGGGATAATGGGGTGAGACATGAGGAGCTGAGATATGAGGAGGCTGAAACATGAGGGGCTGAGGGATAATGGGGTGAGACATGAGGAGCTGAGATATGAGGAGGCTGAAACATGAGGGGCTGAGGGATAATGGGGTGAGACATGAGGAGCTGAGATATGAGGAGGCTGAAACATGAGGGGCTGAGGGATAATGGGGTGAGACATGAGGAGCTGAGATATGAGGAGGCTGAAACATGAGGGGCTGAGGGATAATGGGGTGAGACATGAGGAGCTGAGATATGAGGAGGCTGAAACATGAGGGGCTGAGGGATAATGGGGTGAGACATGGAGGGGCTGAGGGATGAGGCACTAAGACATGAAGGGGCTGAGACTCAGGGTCCAAGGTGAGAGGCTGAGGGGGTGAGATATGAGGGACTTGGCTCAGGGTCCCAGGGTGAGGGACTGAGACATGGAGGGGCTGAGGGGTGAGACGTGAAGGGGATGAGGGAGTGAGGTGCAGGGTGCCAGGATGAGAGGGTGAGACATAGAGGGGCTGAGGAATGAGGAGGGTAAGGGATGGTGGAAAGGGATGATGGAACGAGGTGCAGGGTCCCAGGATGAGAGGGTGAGACATGGAGGGGCTGAGGAATGAGGAGGCCGAGGCTCAGGGTCCCAGGGTGAGGGGCTGAAACATGAGGTGGCTGAGACATAAAGGGGCTGAAGGATGAGGAACTGAGGCTCAGGGTACCAGGGTGAGGGTTTGAGACACGGAGGGGCTGAGAGATGAGTTAGCTGAAACAGGAAGGGGCTGAAGGATGAGGAGCTGAGACATGGAGGGGCTGAAGAATGAGGAACTGAGTCTTGGGATTCCAGGATGAGGGGCTGAACATGGGGGGTTTGAGGGATGGGGCACTGAGGCTCAGGGTGCCAGGGTGAGGGTTTGAGACATGGAGGATTTGCGGGATGGGGCACTGAGGCTCCGGGTGCCAG